TGCCTTTGAGTGCATAAAACCGGCCAAAATGGCATATATAGTTGGAAGATCTAGGTATACCCTCATTTGGCCTCCAGTCGTACCTTCGTTTCGTTTCGGTGAGACTGGGCTGGGTGGGTGCCAGGTTCGGGTCGACTACCCCCGTCCGACGAGCGTAGGACGAGCTGCCACCCCTCCACTTCGGCGGAGAGGACGAGCCCATGAGCGCCCAGTGCCCCAGAGACGGAGACCACGGGGGCGGAGCCCAAAAAAGCGAAGCAGTGCCCAGACGCGAAGGGGTCGGGCCCGAATCCTATGGAGGGGTCGGACCCGAATCCTCGGGTCAGGGGTCTGGGGTCGAACCAATCCCTAGGGTTTTGAGGGACCAAGGGCTGTGAACGGAGCGTCTGGGTGGTGTGTCACTTAGGACGTTCAGTGAGAGGCTGGACCCGAATCCGAACTGGGTCAGGGGTCTGAGTCTGGGGTCGAACCAATCCCTAGTATCTGACAGAGGGATCCGGATCGGGCGTCGTGAACCACGGAGCGTTTGGCTAATGAATGACAGCCAACATGACAATTCATTGATTTCAATCCGAAGTTCCTGCGCTTGGATGAGGGCCATATGATCCCTAGGGATCCGTTTTCGTACTTTGTCAGAAACGCTGATGTGTTCGACACTGAGACATGTAGGTGCCATTCTACGTCAGGTCCAGTTGTACCGAACCTGAGAAGCTTGGATACCAGGGGCCCTCAGTTAACCAACAAAAACCTGCTTTTCACTAGCCAAAAAACATGGTTTTTGTATGTGAACACCTTTACTTTTTTCATGCTTTGGTTCGGGCGCCTGGTAGCTGTACATACGCCATCGGGCTCCTGTCACGCCCCATCTCAGGTTCGGTCTTCACCCCCCCCACCCACCAGAACCATCGCACTGAAACGGAGGCGGCCGGGGATACTGATCAATTCACTCGGGTTGACGGACCCGTGTACCACAGTCATATATGGTTGAAGAACCAACCAGTGCCCCCAGGCATCCCAAACCACGAGTATAAGGAACCTGGGATTCGGAACCGGTCTATGGTTTTAGTCTTTTGGAACCACATGGTTACCAGGTATAGTGGTTTGCCTGGATGCCCTGGCAAGAGAGGTAGCCAGTGACCTGAACTAGGACCTTACTGGGGTACCGAACTGGGATAGTCTAGTTCGGGTTCTTCAACCTCTGGTGGAACAGATGGTTGAAGAACCAACGCTAGCCCCAGTTCAACTATCTGAATTCGGACCCATGTCACGTGTACGACTCACTAACATGGAAGTGGAACACCCGCAGACATGGGTACATTTGTCATACTCTCCCTACTGAACTCGAGGACGCTCAACTGGCCAGTGTCATGGCTTTGCGTGGCAAACGTGGTGAAGACGAGAGCCCCACCAGGAGATCGATCGTGAGATCGGTGTTTGTGAGGTCAGGGGGAGGGTGCAAGGTTGGCTCGTTTTGTTGGTCCCTAATGAATCAACCCAGACGCTCCGTTCACAGCCCTTGGTCCCTCAAAACTCTAGGGGTTTGAGACCCCAGACCCCTCCAGAGGATTCGGGTCCGACCCCTCCATAGGATTCGGGCCCAGACTTCGCGTCTGGGAAGGACCCTCCAAGGCCTCCATGGACCCTCCAAGGCCTCTATGGACCTCCCCATGCACATCGAACAACCCTCGTTGAGGCTCCCTTCGGCCGACCCCCTCTTCGGTGAACTCTCGAGTTCTGGTGGTTTGCGTCGAAGAGCAGCGGTCCACCGGTCCCATGGCGCTTTGGGTCTTCCGGATCGCGCCGGTCCCATGGAGGACCGGGACCTAGGACCGTTGGGCTTCCTGGCGAAGCCTCCGAAGCCCGGAAATCTTGAAGAACGTACTTCCTGCAGGTGTGGAACCAAGCCATTGAACCGTCCAAGTGCGAACCGCGGCTCCCTGGAAGCCAGAACATGCCAGGACAGGGACTTTGAAAGGTGTTTTTATTGTGGGGAGAAGAAACATCTCCTGATCCGCCCAAAGCCAGGAAGCTCCATCGGATCTTCGAGATGTCCTTTTTCTCTCAAAAGCATCGCGCACCTTGAAAAACTCGTGTCAGAAACCAACCAATAATAAAAGATCTAACAAAAACACACGCACTTGTACAACCTCACACAAATGATCCTATCGGAATTCCTTGGACCCTCCATGGCAAAGGTCGGATCGGGCACCTTCACAGGGGTACATCCAAATGGACCAAACTTTCAATATGTTACCCGCTAAGAATCATTGTACCCTCCTATGGAGGGTTTGGACCCTGCAGAACGCAGGGGTTTGGGTGTTGGAAAGTGGGACCAGCCACGATCCATTTGGGATTGCAATATGATGCCCAAAAAAAGGCCGGGGGTGGTGGTCTTGGGAGATCAATGGGTCAGCGCCGAAGGAGAAAAATGCGTCATGGCTGGACTCTCCCACAACTGATCGGTAAATATGCAATTCCCAAGGGTTGTTTAGGAATCCTTCGGACAAATCGCTGCAGGAAAGCTGCAGCACAGGAGCTTGGCATGAAGGCTGGCGCGGAAGAAGCATGTTTACAAGAGGCACATCACGATGATCACGATCTCTCCTGACATCCCTGAAGACTGTCCGGCATACCCCAATCCATGACACATGCAATCTGTGTTATGGATAAACATGGAGAAGGGATCGCGAGGACTTCTGAGGAGGTGTTTGGGGTGGGGTTGGAGGGTCCAAATACCTTCTGAGGAGGTACTTGGAGCCTAGGGAATGTATTCTGATGCAAGTGTGATATGGTCTCCCTTGATGCCATGGATGTCATGGTCGGACACCGTGTTTTTTTCCCAGTCATTGATCCCTTCGATGTGCCAGCACAGTCTTGGAAGCTTTTTTCCCGAGACTAAGAATAAAAAGTTTTTGCTGATAGAACTGGACCCTTCACCAACCCAAGAGTCCATGACAGGCATAGTGACAGGCATATTAACGATCAGTTGGGGTGGTTGACCTGGGGCCTAATGTATGAAACTTCCCGTGGGCAGTGTTTGGGCAATGGAAATGTCAGGTTTGTGCAGTAGTACCGCCGAACTGATTTCCAAATGGGGGAGATGTTGAAGGTGTCCCATTAGGAATAACAGTCGGTCGAAAATTTGGAAATGGGAACTGCAAAGACTGTATTCCTCTACAAACCAGTGGTTTTCAGTGTCCATGTGAGATTTCCACGGGGTAATATCTGATGAGAGGCGCAGGCTACGAACACATCCTCCTCTCACTGATCCACTGGCCTTCCGTCCGTCCTAGGGGGATCCTTCCAAAACGAATTGCAGCGATGGCGCATGTCTTTGGATCGATTTAGGTAGTAAGTATCGTCCAAAGAAAAAAGCACCTTCTATGCTTCCTCTCCCATGTTTCCCCCCCCCAGGAAACAGAAAGCAAATAAGAAACGGCACCTTGACATGTGACTTCCGCTTCCCAACACAATTCCCTTTCCCACCCCCCATGACAGACACGCTTTCTCACTCGTGCCCTGTGATGGCTGGCCCTCGCAGCTCCACTCGCCAGGGCTGGTCGTCGGACTTGGTTCAGGAGCAGCTGTCGGAGTCCGCGCGCCAAAGGCCGGCGAACCGACGCAACGGCGCGACGTGCTTGGGGGTAGCCCGGCCCGAGAGTGGAGCGTCCGGGGTGGGGTGCAGAAGGCCAAGCATGGCCTGGAGGAGGGATTTGAGGAGTCTTTTGCGGCCACGAGGTTCTTTTTTAAGGAGTGTTTATATAGTATCCCTAGGGATCCAAGTACTCTCTCAGAAGGTACGAATGGACCCTGCAAACCTGCATAACAGTGTCTCCAATCACATTCTGAGAAGGTACGACTGGATCCCTAGGGTATAGAGTGTTTAGAGTGTCTCCAAAGCAGATGGCGAGAGTGCCATTAAATGGTCATTGACGAGCATACACATCCGGACTTCACTGAATTGATCCAGGAAGGGGATCACGCCGTTGTCCTCTTGGACTGGCCACAGGTTCGCCAGTTGTGTAGTTGCAGATCAGCAGTTCTGGGTTCTGGAGAAGCAGGGTCCCACCGCAGGACTTGGCCCAAAGGCTGAGGGCAAGACCGTCCAGCGCCTGCAATCCCTCAGCGCTGGAAGACCGTCCACCGGTGACGTGACGTGACGTGACGTGACCGCACCGCACCTGGGTGTGAAATCCAGTCGCCGCACTTGACTTTTTGCGCTGCTTGGAAGAATTGTGGTCATTTTTTTAGTTTTCCCCAGTGCATCCCAGGCAAACCACGAGTACTCAGGAACCAGGGATTCGGAACCGGTCTATGGTTTTTTAGTCTTTTGGAACCACATGGTTACCAATAGTGGTTTGCCTGGATGTGCTGGGTTCTATACGTCCCACTTTCTGGGGCCATTACACTTCGTCGATGGCCAAATTTGCATACCGAGTCAGTGGGTAACCTTTTTTTGGAGTGATGGCGCCCCACTAAGCAAGAACGAACATGTAGAACAAGGTTCACCTTGTTTTTCCAGAGAAACTAAAGGAGTCAGATACACCACATTTAGAAACTGCCGATTATAGTCCTCGCATGGCAATCGGTGTGTTTTCCTGAGCTGTTTTTGAATGATACCATGCATTTCTACTCCGACTGACGTACAAAGGGCAGAAACCCACTGGCGCCGGTTTCCGTCACCGACCGAGTTGCTGAAGGGGCTATGCTTGCACCGCTCTGAGCGATGGCCTCCAACCCGCTAGGGTGTTTGCATTTGGGGGTTACCAAGAGAGGTGGACAGCGACCTGAACTAGGACCCTAATTACTGGGGGTACCTATGGGATAGTCTAGTTCGGGTCATTCAACCTTTGTTGGTAATGGACGGTTTCTTCACATGTGCAAGTTTGGAGAGCGAGTGCCACCTTCGCTCCACCAAAGCACCGCTTTGGTCCTTCGTCGATGGGCACGAAGAACCCAAACTGCTTTAGAAGAAAAGCCGACAGTGCGCTGTCGCTAGGATGGTCTTGGCGTGGTTTTGGCTGGCCTATCTGGGCTTGATAGCTGGTGATGACTGTGAACCAGCCTTGGAGATGCTGCAGCTACGGGCCAGGAAGACTGAAACGGAAGCAGAAGTGACCAATGCATCTGCTCCTGCCACGGTGCATCTGGGCCCGCGCTAGCTGTTGTTTGGGAGCGACAGCTGAGGGTCGCTGGGGGTATATTTTGCTCCTAAGGCTCCTGGCCTACCTCCCTCCTGTCACCCACCCCCGTCCTACCTTCTCAGGTTCGGTACGACTGGAGCCCTATAGGGATTGTATCTCCTATCAAACACGGAGCCGTTCCGAGCGATTGCGGGAGGACTCCCAACCCCTCGCCTCCTCGCCGGGTAGGTACATGATCTTCACTTTTGGTGCTGTGGCCACAAGCACGTCGCCCTTGAAAGATTTCTCGCAGCCCAGCCAGACCTTTCGTGGCCTTCGCTGCTACACTGAGACTTGGTCGAATCTCGGAAGAGGTTCTTTTCCTTGTTGTTTCACTTTGGTGGACGTTCCAACGTGGGACCCTTAACGTATATAGACTCTTGACCTTGGTATGGTTTTTCTAATCAAGTACGGCTTGGAGTGGTCTCAAAGAGCTCGCATGGAAACAGCTCGATCTATCACCTCTCATTTCAGCAGTTTGGGCAGGAAAACTTGCTTCCGATGGGCATGCGGCAAGTGGACGCGGGCGCCAACCTCAACCAGCTCTACCATTCACAGGCGCAGCGGTTTCTCCAAGATTGGGCTGAATCCAGTCCATCCTCCCTTGCCCTTGTTTGGGAGGCTCGCTGGATCCAGACCTACCCAGGTTTCGTGGATCAGCAGGTCGCCTTTCAATGGGTTTCTCCACTTCAAACGAAAAGACGCTGCAGGTGATTTCAGTTGGCTTGGCCGAATTTCTCATACCCAGACGCGACCGCCAGACCCTCCGTTGACCGGGGCCGGACCCGAATCCTTGTGGTCTGGACCTAGGGGTTTTGAGAGGGATCAGTCGAGCTGGTTTCACGGAGCGTCTGGGTCAAAACAATGGCTTCTTGGCCGGTTCCCTGCTTGGACGGAATCGCCCAACTCAGCAGCTCCGGGGGTTGGGGACCCCTCCGCAACGGGCGATTCTATCGCCCAAATCGCCGCGCAACGGGGCCGACGGAATGTGCAAACGGATCTCTCAGGTGAAACCCAACTGCAGGCGAATGACAGAGGAACTGCAGGCTAATGATCTGTGACCCGCCCAAGTGCCTCTTTTTCGATTGAATTCCTGAGAAGAACACATAAACCCGCCACTTGCAGCACCTCAACCCGAAACGTGCACACGACCGAAACGGGCGTGCCGTCGAGGTGCCCACGGTGGTGTTGCGCAGCCACGGCGACTCGGACTTCTTCGATGGCACCGGGCGCCCGGATCTGCCGGCGCACGGCACCGGGGTGCGGCTGCCGGACGTGGGGCTCCATGTGCCTTGGCAAGGCGAAGGCGGAGCCTTCTCGTGTTCAAGAGGAGGAGAAGAAGAAGAAGCAGGAGGAGCAGGAGGAGGAAAGAAGGAAGAAGAAGAAGATCGTGTTGGCGTTGAATCTAGTGTCGTGTTGTTGAGAGTCTGGCAGTTTTTTGGAGAGTGTCGCTACGGATTCGGACCTGTCTTCTGTGGACCTGCCTCCTTTGTGGATTTGTACCTGGAGATACCTGGAGTATGAGTTTGTATCTCGGAAAATGGGTACAAGTACCTGTTTTGATGGGGTCATGTCCCATTTTCTAAGGTACTGGGTCAGTCGGGTCTTGAACGTTCACCTGGTGATCAGCGATTTTTTGCTGGGGTGGCTCAGGGGCTCTGGCGCCCCACCCAGGACATGCAGAACTATTTTCAACGCTTGCTTTCACTACACCTCCGGGGTCGCGATGCTCATGTGGAAAAGCCCTTTGCGAGCGCTCACGCCTTTGCATATTTGGCATGGGGAGCCTATGAGAGGCAGCAGGACAGAGGAGGACGGAGCTTCTGAAAGCCAAGATCAAGTAGAATGCTCAGACCAGAGCCCCCTAAGGAGTGTTTTACTGGATGCCCCGAATCACCTTTGCGAGCTATCATTGTTTTCTTGACACCCCATTGCCCGCGGGCCCTGGTGACATACTGACAGTACGTAGAATTATACGGATTCTCCAAAAGGCCTAGGTCGTTCTTTGTGAAATCATGGACCATGCGTTGAAATGGACTATGAGACACGAAAGCCCGGTGTTTGAATCCCACATTGATACAGAAACTTGCGCTGCATTTGGAGCTGCCAAAGAGCTACACAGTCATTTACAGATGAACACATCCCCTAGCCTTCCGTCGTCCACTGAAGGCTTTGTGACGATGGAATCCTTGATCAAGGCACACCTCCCGAACTGGCGCTTGGTGGCGCAAGAGCAGCTGGATACCATCGAAGCCGTTGACAACCTGTGGATCGTCCAAAACCAGAACAGCCACTCGGCAGCCATGAGAGTGGCCCGACGTCCAGTTCGACTGTATACTTGGACCGAAGTAAAGGAACACTCCCACAGATGGTGCTATAGTGTTTGGTAATACTAGCTGCTCAGGAGCGATGCGCCCTCGGAGCTGCAAGTATGCATCTTCCCCATTCAAAGCGGGAGCCGTTTCACGAGCTACGTTCCCGAACCCCGACAGCTGAACCTCTGTTGGTACAGCCAGCCGTGCTACTGGGACCCGGCACTACTTGGGTAGTCCGACATAGTCCTACTAAGAGTTTTTCCACCTCTGTTGGTGCAGCCAGTGCTGGCGCTTTCAGGCCAAGATTGCTTATTGACCTTTGAAGGAACCCATACCTTCACGCAGTTCTTCCGGACTCTCGGCGGACACGTGTGTGCGAAAACACCCAGAGAACTCACCTGAAAACACCTTCTGAAGGTAGAACTGTCCAAGTAGACGTTGGGAGTTGGTGTTCCTCAACAAGTCAATTTTGTTGGCTATGTGTGCGTGTGATTTTAGGTTTTTAAGCTTGCCTGCTGAGGGGATTCTTCGCATGTTAGAGTCATGTTTTGGCATGGGGCCGTGGAAGGATTCATCGGACAAGCATCGAACAAAGGGCCCAGGAACAAGCCATCCGCACAGCGTTTTCAAACGATGAATCCAAGCAATTGCACCGTGTTCCGGTGGGTTTTTGGGAAGTGTCGAAGTGTAGACCCTGTCGGACCCTTTGTGTTGATTCCCCGGCCGAGCCGAGGAATCTCAAGACCACTGATCAGGTCATTGAATACTGTGGCTTCCCAGGAGGGGAAGTGTTTTGCAAGATGCTTTGCCCTAGAGCTCCAGTCGAACCTCCTTCGGTTCGGTATTTGCACCCTCCTGGCGCCCACCTCAGTCCCACCGAACCTCAGGTTCAGTACGACTGGAGCCCTAGGGTTGAGGTTGGTCAGACTCATCAACATCTCCCCCCAGTCCCCGGCCAGACCTTGGATAAACAGTGCCATCCCTATATAGAAGTCCGGCGGGACAAAATTCCTGAGACCCGAGGTCATCCAAAAGACACCAGCAGTCACAAAGAGGTGCGATCCATGGAGGTTAGAGGTGCTCAGCTACTCCACTCACGTAAGGGGACTATAACTATATAAACACCACGCCGAGCTCTGTGACTGCTGGTATTTTGGACTTTTTGATGAGTATAGACAAACATTCACCCTAGACTTCCAAGACCTTTAAACAAATGCGAACGACCTGGTTTTTGCCGTGTAAAATCTTTAGTTGATTCGGGATTCAGCCTGTTAAATTGATGGTGTTTGGAAGCCTAGGGTTCAGGTGTTGCTTGAACCGACAGCTGGTGTCCTTCGTTTCCTTGAGCCATTGGCCGCCAGGTGTTCATTCCGGCTATGCTGAGAAGCTTCGCTGGCTCATGAAGGGAGTGATGTCGAAGCTGAGGCCGAAACTCTCCAAGTGTTTCTTGGCCGATCCGGCCGACCGAGCATGGGACGTGTGCTGATGAAGGGACGTGTGCTGCCTGGGACGAACTTGGCATCCGCCTGAAATCGCGTGACGTCTTCTCCAGAACCTGCCATCCTAAGAGCAAGGACGCTACTAGAAGCTCCTGCCCTTACTACTAGGAGCGTCCAAGGACGCTACTGAGGGCTCCTGGCATCGCTACTAGGAGCAAGAAGCTAATAGGGGCACCTGGCCTTACTACTAGGAGTGCATGTCCCCAATCTCTCATCCACCCAGGCACGATCCTGGACCCGAATCCTATAGGTTTTGAGGGGCAAAGCTTATTTCGTCTCCCACATACCCACCGCATCCTACCACGCCACATGCTAGCCATCCCTCGAGAACCTAGCCTGAAGCAGAACACTCACTTAAGGAGCTTCCAGTGGAGCCTCCACCAGTCTCACTCACTTAACGCTCTTAGAAGTGCCATGCCTCTCCGCCCTCTTTTTGCGCCCCCGCCTCAGGCTATCGGGTAGGCTGTACTGGACACTCCTTGGGCGGTGCTCTCTGCGAAATCTTCGCCGCCTGTGTCAACTCCGGCCGCGCCGCGCGGCAGTCAGTTGGAATTGGCAGACGATTTCATCAGTTGGAGCAGCCCAGGGTCGACCACCTCTTCCACACCAAGGACTTTCCACCACCACCCAAGAGAGGTTAAGTGACCTTAAATAGGACCCGTCACCTGGGGTACCGAGCTGGAATAGTCTAGTTCAGGTCATTCAACCTTTGTTGGACCAGCCTGGAAGGTCGACCCTGGACCTTCCACCTGGTCTTGGACTTGGTGGTGTTGGTCGACAGGGCCTAGAAGGTCGACCGGGCCGTACCCTGACACGACCCCGTGTCTACGGGACTGCCATCTCTGCCGAGAGTTCCGGCCAGGGGTGGTGCCAGGGGGTCAATTGATCGGCATGCAATCCCTAGGGATCCAGTCGTACCTTCGAAGGAATTTGGGCTCTCCTGGCGCCTACATCAATAGTCTCCTTCCTCACCGTACCTCAGAAGGTATACTTGGATCCTGTAGGGAATGGAGTGTTTGGGAAGGACAAAGTCAGTTCCACCGGACCTCCGAGCGACGCCACAAGACGGAATCGTCCCCGGAGCAGGGTCAGACCACGGTGACGTTGCTCACCGAGCACCGGAACGTTGCTCCGGTTGGACCGGAGGACGGTCTGAACAAGGTTCAACCTCGACCAGTGGTCAGTGGGGAAGAGTTTTTTTGGCACTCGATGTCACTTGCTTTGCCTTGCTTTGCTTGGTTGGAAAGGGAGTGTGCACGTCACACCCAGTCAGATGATTCTGCGTTTTATCTGGAGGACTTTGAAAGATTTGAACAAATTGGACAACCATAAGATTCCATCAGAGGGCCAAAAACCATTCCATTTTCTGACCATCAGAGACCAGCAGTGTTTCTTAAGTCTGACCTGCTTGATCAAACTTGATCCCATCCAAAAGCTTTGTTCTTTTCCGGGTGAAGATGTTCATTTTGCCTTGCCTCTTCTTTGCCTATGAGGCAGGTCGTAGTCCCATTGCGTGTTCTCAAGGAGACTCAGTGCATGTTCTTTGTGCTGTTCTTGCCCCAAATGATCCCGGATCGATGTTCCTTTTATATACCTCCATAGTCTCTAAGAAATCGTGCATCACCCTTTGCTTCCTTCTAGCCCAGCTGGAGCCATGATATTATTCCCTCAGAATCATTGGACCCAACCACCGATCTGGAGGGTTTGGACTCGACCATAGGTCCCGCAGGGGCCCGACAGGACCTGAACCAAACCTTCACCGAACGGGGCGGGTCCTTGATTCTTAGGGTACGATTAAGAACTCGAAACCGGGTGCCCTCTATGGCTTCTCTCTCTCCCTCGCTTCTCCAAGGTGGGCCACCCCGATTTCGAGGCAGCGACGTGGAGCGCCGGAGAAAAGGAACTGATGCCCCAGATCGCACAGAAGCCGCTCAGCAGGGATAACCTCGGAGCCCATTGAGCACCAAGATGCACCAAGCACGCCCATGGCAGTGCCCATGGCGTCTTGCTGTCCGCGCCAATTCGTGCCTTAAGCTGTTTTGGGGGAAAAGAGTTGAGAGTCCCGAAGCAGCTTTCGATACCTGAACCTTCATGTCGAGGGGGGGTTGGAAGCAACTGCTGTCTCGACATGGCGAACTTGCAGGTTCACCGCCGTGGTCTGGGCGAAAAAAGACTTCACGCTGCCCACTGGAGTGTTGGTGGGTGAGGAGCTCTTGGACGTCCTGAAAAAGCGGACTGAAGGATAGACCCGAACCGTCCTTTGGTTTGGAGAGGATTGTCCTACTAAACTGCTATAGCAGGGATTGACAGATATAAACAGCTGAACAACCAGACAGCAGGACCTAAGGTCCTCCCTAGGGATCCAGTCATACCTTCTCAGAAGGTACGACTGGACCCTCAAAACCTACATAAGATACAAACCCTTGTGAACAGCCAAATTGTACAGACTCTCAATGTGTGTTTTCTTTTCGATGCGCGCCTCCCATTTCACGGGCCTCTCCATCACCAGGTAAACCCTGCAGACCGTTTGGCGACGGGCGGAGCCCGGCCGTTCGTAAGGCCAAAACTAAAATCCGATCGGAGTCTTTTTCTCGCGCGTGCACGCTTTCCAGCAGCGGCGCCCTCTTTCGGGTCCACTCATCCCCAAGTAAGGGTTGAAAAAAAACATGTCCGAAACGATCACCTATAGATGCCGATCATTCGCTTCTGCTTAGCTGGGTTCTTTGATGCGCAGATCCCACCATGCGATGATCGATCGGCAGCGACGACGAGTTCGCGCACGGATCGAGGAAAGACCGGCCGAGGTCAGACAGAGCGATCGTTCGTTTCGCGAGCGATCGTGTGGCGGGCGGTGCTTCCCGACCTATGGAGTCAATTTACAGGATTCACAAGTTTCACTCACTGAGGATTGGAGTTAGCTTGGGGAAGCCGCAAGGATCCGGTCGTCCGGACCCGAACCATGGCGATCTAAGACTATATTAAGAATGGTCTGACTAGGTGACCCGAAAAGGAATATCCTTTACTTCAGCCGGTCAAAATATAGTCGAACTGGACTTCTAGGGTCAATGTTTAAGCCTGCTACCTTGTGATGGTGTAACATTTAGTGTATGTTCCTACATGGTTCTACCGATTCTACCTCACTACCTGCGCCAGGATAAGCAGACATGAAAGACGTTTCCTACCCAGGAAGTACGTGGAGAACCTGCGCCACCTTTTGGGGGGGATTGGCTTTCTCCAGAAAAAGGATGTATCCCTAGGACTCCTGGCCCTTATCCTCATGTTCGGTGGTTAGACCCCCATGGCACCCACCCCTGGCCCACCGAACCTCAGTTCGTTGGGCCAGGAGCCCTTTTTGGGGTATCTAGCCTGTGACCCGGAGGAAGCTTCCCGGAGCTGGATCACTCGCATCGGCCATGGGAGTTCAACATCCCCCCAACCACAGCTAGTTAGTCAACATCCCCCCAACAGCGCGGTTGAAATAGAATCAAGAAGCCTGCTTTTCAGGGCGCCGGACAGAAGCGATTCTGGGTGGAATTGGCCTCCTGTTTCACATTGGCCTGTCGACTGTCACGAAACACTCCTACAGCAGTTAACTAGATGTAGACTCTTCCAGGAGGGTGGCTTAAGGGTGGCTTTTTGTCCCATCCTTTGAGTGCATGTGACAGGTACACCTAGTCCCATCCAATGTGATAGATGGTTGATATCTGAACGCTCATGAGAGGCTCGCGGAGTTGAAGCAGCGGGTCTCCAAGGAGCTGAGCCTCGACCGCTACGAGGAGAGACCATGAAACTGAGCCATGGGGAGCCATCCTAACAAACGTCCTCCACACGCGAACGGCCACAGGCGGTGTGGCGGATGTTTGGTGACTTGGGTGGCTTTTCCGAACTGGCTAAATCCCCTGAAACTGGGGAAAGTGTGTAATTCTTCCACTTCCCAAGCAAGTTGTGGGGTGTGTGGGCAGACCAGTCGAGGATGGTTGAGTGGGTTGGGTCTTTCCGAACGCTTTTTTCTCGACCAAAGGTTGGGTGAGTATTAGGACGCTATGCTCGGTGGAGGCCATTGCAAGTAGGTTGGAGGCCTATACTAGTACCTGAAGCGGTGGTTAATGGACACCCCTTAACCTCTAAGGGGCTATCAATAGACACCCCTTAGGGTGTCCTGGTATAGTGGCAAGAAGCTAGTAGTAAGAAGGGCACAGGATTTCATTTGATGTGGTTCGAGCCTGGGGATGTGGAGGTCTATGACGTGGAGGAAGCGGCGACCGTAGAGGGTTGGAAGATGTGGTTCCAGGCGACCGCTATGCCCAAAAATCTGTACATGTATCACACCCATAGACTCCATGGGACTGCCATATATGCCTACATTGGAGTGGTTTGGGGGGTCAATTGATCGGCATATATGGCAGTCCCATGGAGTCTATGGGACATGTATCACCCTAGAACTTCCATGACTCCTGAGCCATATACCCCACCTGGATGTCATAGTCCACTCACTACCAGGCTGTATAGGGAGAACATGAGTCCTGGCTCCCGTGACGGGACTCTGAAGGCTCCTGGACTCCCCCTTTTGATGGTACGATGTTCGGCTGCACGTCGTTCAAACGCCGTCCGCGCTGGGAGCCGTCCGCGAAGAGCGTGGGATTTTCGAGAACCCCGCACATCCGAGCTAAAATTCGGGGACCCCCAGCTATGGATCCTGTAAACTCATTCAACTCGATCTTGATGCCTTTTCAATCCCACAATCCATGCTTGGCGGGGTTGTTCATTCAAACGTCTACAGTACTAGTGGGGGTTACACCTCAGTAGAAGGGATGATCTCGATCCCAGGTGAGCTGGTCGTAGCGTAGCTCGCGTAGAGTAGATCCTTATAGTCTTGTTAACATGCCCTTTGAAAGAGCCCCCCCACCCAAAACTGCCACCGCCAATCACCTCCAATCGCTTCTTCAATCACCTTTACCTCCCTGAGCACCCCAACGCCCAAAAACCGAAGCCAAAACCACGAAAGCACGTTCTCTCGCACCTCGGCGAACCTCATTCGCTCGCGCGGCTGGCTCATTCATACCGCCCTCCGCGGCTCGTCCGCGCTTGTCTCGGCTCAGCATGTTTCCCATCCTTTGCTGCTCCGGCCCGTCCGCCGCGGACGACGGCGACCTGACGATGGACGAGGACTTCGTGCCGCCGGACCGGGAGCCGCTGCGTTCGGAGCGGCGGTCCGAGCTCGTGGAGGCGCGGGGAACGGTCCGCCCGGTGGGAAGCGGTGCGGTGGACGTCCGGCCCAGAGGAAGGACGGACATGTGGCGTTGGAAGATATGTTGGTATTTTATTTGGATGTCGACATGTTTCCTCTGAAAATGGGTGTTCAAGTTATATTTTTTTGTATAGGTATAAGTATGTATTATACAGGGGTGTGTGTATATATAAGGAGGTTTGGGAAAAGTTAGTCTTTTCATTTTTTGGTCTTTTGAGTTTGGCGTTGGTTGGGAGTGGAAGGGAGTTAATTGTTGCGAGTGTGGTGACTGCCTAAATTGGAAGCCATTTGGGTTGAAGTTGAAGACTGCCCTATTGTGTGCTATCGTGCCTACCCCATCCCTAGCCCTTTCCCATGAAGCGCCCTGCTGCAAAGAGACCAGCGGCTCATGGAGCTCAGAAGAGACCGGCTTTGAGGAGCGAAACCGGAGTGGATTGGGTCAGGGAATGGGTCAGGCTTGCGGTCTCAAGTTAAAGGGTGTAGATGTATAGTAGCTGAAGACAGAAGATTGATCAAGAAATCGATTATTTTATATCATGCATATAATATGATATGTCCCAAATAGATTCCACAGATACTTTGCAGTTTGGTCCTAGTATTTTTGTCCACCCTCAACGATGTTTAACGTGCAACAGCGATTTTTGCTGCAGCTGTGAAATGGTTCACAGTTCACAATGCCTACTGCATTGACAGTGGCTGAGATCATAAGGAAAAGGTGCACATGTACCAATGGTCGCTGCTTCATACAATTTGAACATGCCAGCGAGGCAGTTCTGAAGGAGCGAAAACATTTTCAAGGACTCGACGACCGCGGCAAGGAAGCTAGCTGGGTTGCCCAATGCCAAGCAATTTGTTGTTTGAATTTGACATATTATATTTAGTCAAACGGTTTCATATCTTGCAATTTGGGTTTTCTTGGTGACAAAAGGGCTAGGAAAGTATTTTATAAATTTAAAGCACACCCAAATTAGGGTTTCTTTAGAACCTATAACCTGTAGTAAGTGTCGTAATGTAAATTGTTTAGTATGAATGGCATCTAGCACAGTACTGCAGCAAGGAACTCCTTCTTTGCCGGTGGTACAACATTGCTGTCCGTGATGCTTTGGAAGTGGGGACAACAAATGTGGCAGGATTATCGACTACACAAGATATCTTGCATGACACGGATTCAGAAGGACAAGAGACTGGACAGATCCTTTGTGAGACTGACTCAGACATGGAACATCAGTCATCGAATCTGCTTGTAGAAAGTGATACCGAAGGGGTTTTGAAGGAGACTGACTCAGAAGGTGATACTGCTTTGCCACCACCGGAGAAAAAACGCAAGTATTCCAATAGGGTTTCATCGAGTCCAATGACATTTCTTGAGAAACCTGTCTGTCGGCATGCCCACCTGCGTTTGTACGGTGTGGGGTCATCAGCTTTGCAGCGACTTCGAGCTGGTGAAGCTGCATTCAGCATGCACCAGAACCGTCTCCCAGAGCCAAAGCACAGTACGCTCGGGGTCTCATTGGCCCGCCGAATTGACAAGCAGAAGTGGCCAAACGTGCTAGCCTTCTTTTGGCTGCTATACATGAGCGTTGCGGAAATTTTACCAACGAGGCTGACTATGCCCAAGTCTTCAAACGGACTTTTGGAGAGCTATGTTGAGAAGGACCCAGATTTTGAAGAGAGATACATTCGGTCGTTCATGTCCACTTTGGAGCGCAATTTTGAACACAATCCGGTCACTTGGAAATCAACTGGGATTGGAATCACACTAACTGTAACTTGTTTGTCTTTGATTGGGGTTACTTTTGTTGAAGGTCGGCAGACTTGGTGAACTTGCTTGTCTGAATCAATTGAAACACTTGAGGCAGTAAATGCTGCTGGACCCGGCACCTTCGATGGCCCAACCCGCTTTTTATAGCGGGCACGGCCGATGGATTTGTTCCTCCAATATCAGGCCTACGCCGAGTCTCTTGGACAACCGAGCGCGAGCTTTACAACATTTCGCAAGATCATGAAACCGGTGTTCCAATCACATATGCGCTTCAGATCCAAAGGTGAACATGGCCAGTGCGATGTTTGCTATAAACTTCGAAGCCGCATCAAAAAAGCAGCGTCCAGGGCCATGAGGCAGGCGGTAACAAGGCTTTACACACAGCACTTGCTATCGCAGCGGCTGGACCGCCAATACTATTGGAGTGTAAGAACTCAAAGCAGGAATTACTTTGCCCAGGCTCTCCACATTGCACAGAAATGGGAAACTGCAGCGGTGGCTGCCAGCGTGGTCTGTATGATCCAAGACGGCATGGACCAAGCAAAACTGAGAGTCCCCAGGCTTGGATACGTCACTCCGAGCAAGGCCTTTCAAAAGCTATACCGTCCTGCTTGTCACCTTGTGGGAACATTTTTACATGGCTACAAGATGCTCATTAGCATCTCAGATGAGGATCTGAAAAAGGATAGCGTTACATCCATGGAGTTGGTGTGCCGGGCTTTAAGCGAGTTGGTGGAGCAATTTGGGAACATCCCGCTTTCAGTCCATCTTCAACAAGATAATTGTTACCGCGAAGGTAAGAACAGTTTCATGTTGAACTTATTCTTGCTTTTTCAGATCCTGGGCATTGTCAGATTTTGCACTCTGGGCTACTTAAGAGTAGCCCATTCCCACGAAGACATCGACCAGTGCTTTGGTCAAGTGGCAAGGCTTCTAATGGGGCGGAAATGTGGGTCCGCTAATGAAATGGTTGCTACTCTCCAGGAAGCTATCGATGGCAATCATGGGGGTGCAGCAAATGAAGCCTCTGGTCGCATTCGAGGATCCATCGCCCAGGTGTCAAAGGTTGATGAGACAGCTTGCTGGAAGTTGTTTGTCCGACAAACAGGCTTGAAGTTTAAAGGTCTGAGGCAACGTGTTGGAATTGGAGGAAATGGGGTCTCGATGGATTCCAAATGATGATGATATATTTTTGGTGACGAAGCATTGGCTGGCAGACAAACAGGTGGCTCGTGCAATCATGGTTGTCCCAGCATCGGTCGCTTCTGAAATTCGTCGGGGATTCCATTCACCTGGAGGAGTGGCCAACAGAAGGTTGATTTCAGAACAGGTTCGCAAGAATATTCAAAGACAACTTCCGCCGTGCCACAAGAGTGGGGAAGTGAGCGCCGAAGCTCTAAAATACCTTCAGCAGTGGAGCACGGCAACACTACCCCGGATACGCAGACCTTCGGAGTATGCGATTCTGAGGTACAGGTACAGTTCTGAGTTCATGGACACCCATGTTGAAGGCACCTGGAGCATCCCAAATCGCATCAAGCATTTTGATTTGAAACTTGCCAACAATGAACTTGGCAGCGATAGCAGTGGGTCCGAATCTGATGCCGATGGAGCTGCTGTAGATTTGCCGGAAGGGTTTGAATCCTAAGCTTTTTGCCAGCGTTGAAAAAGAATCATTGTTAATGCACTCTTCCAGCACCCCACTGCGCCGTGCTTGCGGCATTCCAAGGGTTCTATGGGTTCTTTAAAACCAAAGATGTTCTATGGATTCTTTTTCCAGGTCCAACAATTGACCTTTGTGCTTTCCACAGCCGGGTCTATGCATTTGGGGCCCTTGCTTCCACAGCTGGGTTTATGTCTTTTGGGTTCTGGAAGTTTCTGGTTTTCCATGCACTCGCTCCAGGAGGGAAGATGAGCAAAGCGTCCTTTTGAGTTCAGACAACGAGACTGACCCAGGCAGGATAGATGTATTATTGGGAGTCGATGTTCTCATGATTGAGGCACGACATGTTGAAGGGCTTTTGGAATGAAACCGACGTGTTTGTCATCACTGTTTATCAGATCTGGAGGTTGTTGAATGGGTAGTAACAACCTCAGTATAAACTGCAGGATCGGAACCTTCGGAGCAACCAGTGCTGGAAGACTCGGAGGATGAGGGGCAACCTGATGCTTCTCTGGATGCCCGGGTCAAAACAGAGCTCAGTGTGCCTTGGTGTTGAAGGCGGCAGCAGGTCAATGTTTTACTTTGACCGTCTAAAGGAGATTATGTTATTATGGCAGAAATTGAATGTTAGAGAGTCACGACATCCAACAACTACTGCTTACTACTAAATTCGACCTCTATATATTCATCAATTGGCAATTGTTCAACTTTGGATGGAAAAGGAATCTTACCCAAGTATTAGGCACTTTGGTTTCTTAAATCATTATATAGTCCTTTCATGAGGCGTACTTTCAATATTTAGGAATTAAAGGGTGTCATGGACTAAGTTCAAGGCAACTAGGGGTCTTTCATTCACTCTGCTGATCTCTGCTGAGATTGGTGCCTTTGTTCGGGAATTCTTGCACAATGCCAAATTTGCGGACTTGCGGCAACGGATGCAGTCCAATTTGGATGTGGTGGGTTCCCTGAAGGTAGGGAGCATGTTCTCAGGGTGGGGAGTTGTGGAGATGGTCGTCTCTGAGCTAGTCACGACCTGGAATGCGGAGAATCCACAAGATGAGATCAAGGCAAGGGGTTGAAAGAATGAAGGGCTAAACGACTAACGTTAGATCAGTCCAACCTGCTGAAAAAAGGTTGCATTTCTTTGGCTGGAGTTTGGTTCACATTGAACTGAGTGACTTGAAACTACCTGGTTCAATGTTTGGTGAAGCAATAATCGTCGTCTTGTTAGGTGGACGTCAAGTTCATGGCCGAGAACAATGAGCGCAAAATCAAATACCTCGCCTCCAGATTCCCAGATGTGCCAGTTTTTGAGGATGCCTCCGACTTGCACAAATCCCACGCTCGGTGCGCCAACGGCAAAAGCTGTGCAGTTGAAAAGGCTGGACTGTGTCCAAACAAATCCCAGGCAATCACACCACTGTGGGACTGTGGGGTTTCATTCTTGATTCCTGGGTGAGTTTTAGCTTGCAAATGTCCACTGAATTGAATGGGGAATTTGGTACATTCAACATTGAAAGCATCGGTTTCCAGGTGGATGTTTTGGTAGCTGG